TTAAAAATAATCACATCAAATCAAAATAAAAAGAATGCAGTGAAATTATCGACCCAGATTATTAATGATATATTTTGTCTTTTATAGATTTAATAACATTATGAACTCGTGTCTATAGCAATACACATTAATGTTTGAATAATTTATCTGCAAATTTCGTCATTTTGTTATTGCAGACAGCAGACGCTCACTTTATCTTTGACGCTTGAAAAAGATGTGCACTTCACGTTACGTATAACAAAGCTGAGATATTAAACTTGGACATTCTGGCTTGAATTCTTAATAATGGCGGTTTATTTAACCCTTAACAAGCGGTGATATATTGAACGCCGAACGGCTTAAAACATGCGTATTTGAAGTGACGTCCACTCTGTACAAAGCGTAAGAGATACTCGAAGTAGAAGGGGTATCGTTTATGCGTTCATGTGGGGAAGTTATATTTTGACATGGATAGGTTAAGATTGTTGTTATTATTGTGAGACCGGAAATACCTACACAATAGACTCTTCCAAGTCTATATTAAGTATGCGACACAACACAGAGAGTCAGAGAGATAGAGAGACAGTGAGAGCCGCGTACGACGACCAGTATTGGACACTAACATACAGTAAGCTCCGCTTACGCTATCTCTGTAACCTGTTGTCAATATATCTTTCTTACATCTAATCCGTGTTCCGTGTTTTCCTTCTGTGGTCCCGACTTTGGCCCCACAATCAGTGGCGACGAGAATTCGAGAAACGCAATCACGGCGAAACCTCAATACCTTACCAGTTCCACATCTGTGTCGACGAAGAATTCGAGAAAAGCATTCACGTCGAAAACCGCAATACTTTGCCAGTCCCACATCGGTGGCGACAGAAAGATTTGAGAATTTCGTTCTCACCATATCAATAGCGACAGAATACTCGAAAAATATACAGAAACTCCACGCTAACCCACAGCAGTGTTGAACGAGAAATTAAGCTGGTATTACTACATTAGCGATTTAAACGCAACACCCAGCGTCTACATATAATACATATATTCCGATACCAAACATCAGTGACGAACTAGCGATTCGATATCTACAGAATATTAAAATCTGTCCAAATAACATTACGAGAACGATTGCTTAGTCACCCACCCACACACAAAAAAAAAACAAAAAAAAACAGTTTGTTCATAAAACAAACTGACAACACAAGAGCCGAAGGACTACCATTGTACTCAAGTTTTTGAAAAAAATTATCTAAAATTTTTTTTATGTAACTGAGTTGAACTCGTGCATGAAATTATTCTCTCCTCAAATGCACTGAGGCGAGTTTTCTCTTTTTGTACCTCTATAAAAAAATACGTAAGTGTGGTGAAAATTGATACAATTACGTTAAAATTAACGGAAGCACGGAATTGCAAAAAAGCTAAACACATAATTAGTTTAGTTTAACTTGTTGTCTGTCCATGTTTTTTTGTTTTTTTGTAAAAGAAAAAAAAAGGAAAAAAAAACTATCAAGATTTTTTTGTATACCTCCCCTTGGTACACGGGTTTCAAAGCAACAAAAAATCGCTGTAATTTTTGTTTGTCTAAATATGAAAGATTTTCAAAAAGTAATTGTGCAAATGCTAAAAGTAAATTTGGATCAGCAACAAACATCAGAATAAAAACAACAACTATTTTTTGGAATTAAAACAACAAATGGAATTACAAAAAATTACGCTTCAGAATGCTGAACTACAACAGAAACATTTTAAAGAATTACTCGTAAATGCATTAAAAGGCTCAAACTCTGAAAAAGATACAATATTCTCCCAGAGTACAATCTACAATTCAATGGAAACATTTGAATACGTACCATAGAAGGACAAAACATTCGACGCATTTTACAGGCGCTACGAAGATATTTTCAACGTAGACTATGAACAATGGCCCAGTAAAAAAAAGGTACGTCTACTATTGAGAAAACTGGGAACTACAGAACATAGTAGATTCGTAGACTTCATACTACCCAAGAAAACCACAGACAGGATTTTTCAGAGACTATTAAGCTTCTATCGGAAATATTCGGGCCTAACACAACCTTGTTCCACAAACGTTGGAAATGTCTGAACACATTCAAAGACAACAAGCAGTATCGTTAAACAAGCTCCGTTTGCAGTATCGGTAAACAAGCTCCGTAATGATTTTAAACTAGCCGAACTGACTGCCGATGATTTCAAGTGCTTAATTTTCGCACAAGGTCTAGTATCAGCAGAAGACGCTGAAGTCAGACGATGGCAACTGACCAAGCTTGAGAACGAACAAGGATTGACTCTCCAAAAACTAGCAGAGTACTGTCAAAGAGTAATATCTGTAAAGTGTGACTCAAACACAATCGAGGAATCAGGTGTGGCTCAGATTAATAAAATCAGAAGTAAGTCTACCTCCTATTCCCCTCAAAAAGACAAGAGGCAAATCTCATGTCCTAAATTCCGCAGTAGCCAAAACCCAAATAGGTTAAAGAAACCGCCCGGTAACCATTGTGGTAAATGGCATTGGATGAAATTCTGTCTAGTTAAGAAGAAAAAATATTGCAAAAATTGCAATGAAAGTGAGCATAGTTTAACTTCGTGCTGGTACGCCAACAGAATGAGAAAACCCCAAAATAAAATTAAGCAAGCTCAATCTAACAATATGGTCGATAGGAATTTAATGAAATATGTAACTGTGGATATTTTCAATAATTCCATTAAATTCCAGCTTGACTCGGGTTCCGATATTTCAACCATTAACTGGCGTACTCGGCGAAAATTAAACAAGCCGACCTTATTAAAACGGATAAAACAGCAAAAAATCCGTAACTGGCGAAAAGATTAACATTTTAGGCGAGGTAATACTTACAGTAACACTAAATGGAGTTACCAAAAGCTCAAAAGCCTACGTATTGAAAAACTTCAGATAACATATTTGGAACAGATTGGATAGAAAAATTCAATCTTTGGGATTGCCCAATGAGTACATTTTGTCGCAAGATACAAGTACAACGTCCAATTTGGTAAATCTCAAAAAGGAACTCAAACAACAATTTTCCCAGGTTTTTTCTGGCGGCCTAGGGAAATGTACTAAAATGAAAGCTAAGTTCAAGGTGAAGGACGGTGCACAACCGGTATTCAAAAAGAAACGGAATGTCCCTTTCGCTGCTCTAGAGCAAATCAACAAAGAGTTAGATAGACTCGAACAAGCAGGTATTCTGTCAAAAACAGATTTCAGCGAGTGGGCACCACCTACGGTCTACGTAAAAAAGAAGTCCAATCAAATACGAGCCAACGCGATCAGAAATATGCCGGCCCCAGATAACGTTCAAGCGTTACAAAGCTTCCTTGACCTAGTTAACTTTTACCAAGGGTTCATTAGGAACATGCAAAATTTGAGAGGGCCTCTCAACCAACTTTTAAAAAAGGACAACCTTGGTCATGTACCCCGGAATGCCAAGACGCATTCGAGAAGATCAAGAAAACTCTTACTTCTGACCTCTCCCTCACCTATTACGAACCTAGTCTCGACATTATAGTCGCAAGTGATGCAAGCTCGTACGGCATTGGTGCTTGCATTCTGCATAAACTGCCAGATGGTTCGCGAAAAGCTGTGGCTCACACATCAAGATCTCTAGTTCAATCTCGATATGCCCCAAGTCTCTCCTGAAGTGCGACGCACAGGAAGGAAAAGGAAATTTACTCAACCGCTCGACGTAAAGCCCAAGAGGGAAAATTATTAACAGTTTTATTTTTTCTCTCCTTTTCAAAAAGAAAACTATTGGAAGGGGGTATTGTGAGACCGGAACTACCTACACAATAGACTCTTCCAGGTCTATATTAAGTATGCTACACAACACTCTAGAGAGAGAGTCAGAGAGATAGAGAGAGAGCGCGAGCCGCGTACGACTACCAGTATTGGACACTAACATATAGTAAGCTCCGCTTACACTATCTCTGTAACCTGTTGTTAATATATCTTTCTTACATCTAATCCGTGTTCCGTGTTTTCCTTCTGTGGTCCCGACTTTGGCCCCACATCAGTTATCGAGAAAGCAACCTCATGAAAGTCAGTTCCACGGGACAGCTTATTTTTTGTTTTAAATATATGCAATTTTTTTGTTTTTATTTTTTATATATTTTCACTCTTTTCACACTATGAAAAATATTATTTTAACAAAACTTCTTGTAGGACCAAAGATGAACTGAAGGCAAAGATTATGGCAGCATTCACCGTCCAGAAGATTTTCTGGAGTTTCTGAAGTTGTTTAGAAGCCGTGGCTGAAGCCAATGGCGATTTTATGGAAGAAATTTATTCTTTAGTATTTCAAGATATTTTTGTGGAATTTTCGTAAATATATCCGTCAAAATGAGATGCCAGTGTTATTTTCATTTCTGTGTCATTCGAACGACAATTTATCCATCGCAACCTGTATATCCGTTAAAATGAGGTCAACTTTCATTTTTGCGTCATTCAGACGACAATTTATCCATCGCACCCTGCATATTGTTAAAACGAAATATCAGTGTTATTTTCATTTTTGCGTCATTCATACGACAATTTATTCATCGCACCCTGCATATCTGTTAAAATAAATTGTCAGTGTTATTTACATTTCTGCGTCACTTAGACGACAATTTATCCATCGCACCGTGCATATCTGTCAAAGTGAGACGTCAGTGTTATTTTCAATACTGCGTCATTTAGATGACAATTTATCCATCGCACCCTGTATATCTGTTAAAATATGTCAGTGTTATTTTCGCGCCATTTAGACGACAATTTATCCATCGCACACTGTATATCAAAATGAGGTCAGTTATTTTCATTGGGACGTCATTTAGACGACGATTTATCCATCGCCCCCTATATTTCTGTTAAAATGAGATGTCGGTGTTGTTTTCATTTTTGCTTCTTTTAGACGACAATTTATCCGTCACATCCTGTAAATTTGTTAAAATGGGATGTCAGTGCTATTTTCATTTCTGCGGCATTTAGATGACAATTTATCCATCGCACCCTGTGGTGTTTGGCATGACGGTCTTCTTGATATGTTGAAAGGTTATCGTATTTCTGGACGAATTTTTAAACTGCTTCCGTTTCTCACATTATATTGCGTAATGCAAGTTTTTCTGAACGTCCAATCCTGCATGTCTTTTGGTAGTAATCCAGGTGACATATCTCCTTGGACATACGCCATTCTTGATGTTCATCAATGTCCATCCTGCTGCCATCAGTTCTCAACTATATATATGCTAATTATGCAACTATTTAATGATTTCTTAATGGCATGTCTGATCTTTGCGAAGAGGTCAAATTGGCAGCTGATCTCAAAAATGATCTACAATCTGCTGTTATCAGGGTTAAGGAATAAATATCTTAATTTTAACGCTTCCAAAACGCTATTCTCTATTAATCATCTAAGAGACTCCCTTTCGGCTTTCCATCAGCATGGATGACGCTAACCTACAGGAGAGTGATGACTAATTGTCATTTATCAGATAAACATTTTCCGCTGGCATGAAGTAGAAAGATTATATTGAATCAATTGTGCGGTCTGATTCTCGGCAAGTTGGTTTCATATGTCGTGTGAGGCAGTTTGTCTCCCTAGAATATATCTTTCAAAATTAGATGTATTTCATTCGCTCATATATTGAATATTTCTGCCACATCTAGTCTGTTGTTCCTGCTATACATTTAGAGATTCTTGATAAAATCCAAAGAAGAATCTGTAATGTTATTAGTATATCTCCGCAAGGCATTTCACCACGGTTGGCACGTAGCGGGTGGTCCAAAGTCTTGTCACCCCACACCAAAAAGTAATGAGAACAATAGAAGAATGCAGTAATACAAATCACATGTACTGGGTTCAGTTTATTCAGAAATGTCTCATCTGAAAACATGGAAAAAAAGTTGAGTTCAGTCTTTTTTTTTTTAAAATATACATTTTGTGGGATGGGCATTTATCCTATGCTATTGCACGTTTCGGACAATTTTGCTGGTACAGCCGACACACACACACACACATACACCCATATATATATTAAGAAATGGATAAAGTCCGACAATTTATTTATTAAAGACATTTTTATGTTTAACGTTCTTTTTTATAGATAATTTGTAAAGGCTTATAAACAGTATTAAATAAATTTGGTCCTGAATGTCCGAGAAATTTTCATAGAAAATATTCGTCCTTCGAACCTGCATCCATCTCATTTAGGAAATTTACTGATTTACCATAAAACCCTTTAAAAATTTCTAACTTTATTTCGCCATAGTAAAATTTGCAATACAAATAGTAAAAGTTGACAAGATTTACAGTAATGCCTGCATTAGTTATTTTAACTTTCAAATCTTTGAACTAGGTTTTGATGTCCCCATAAAAGTCTAATCGAATCAATTCTTTGAATTAAAAACCTCTTCCATCCATTTTTAGATATTTATTTATATACCCTCAAACGCAAACAAATATAGTTTACTTTATTATAACATTTTTTTAGATATTATTTATATCGCAAATACAAATATAGTTATAATTTTTATGATCTTTATGGACACCGGTATATATATATATATATATATATATATATATATATATATATATATATATATATATATATATATATATATATATATATATATATATATATAATAATAATAATAATGATATAAATAATAATGATATATACACAGCGTGGTCCGAAGGTCTTGTCACCCCACTATGAATATAGTAATACGAAGCACATGTACTGGATTCAATTGATTCACAAATGTCTGATCTAAAAACCTGGGCAAAAGATTAGTTTAGCGTTTTCTTTAGATATTATACATTGTGGGCAATTATCTCTTATGCTGTTACAATTCGGACAATTGTACTGTTACTGTTCACACACACACACACATATATATATATATATATATATATATATATATATATATATATATATATATACACACATAGATAGATAGATAGATAGATAGATAGATAGATAGATAGATAGATAGATAGATAGATACAACTACTTGTAATAATAATATAAATAATAATAATAATGATAAATACACAGTGCGGTCCGAAGGTCTTTTCTACCCCATCTACGAAAATGTAATGGAAACAATAAAACACATAATAAAGTAATACAAACCACATGTACGCGATTCAGTTTATTCACTTTCATTGTCGCTGTGACACACTGAGAAGCTCCGAAATCACACCACCAGTTTCGTGTTAGCCAACTGAAATAGAAAATTATATTATGTACGGGTGACAGGACTTTCGGATCACGCTCTACTTTATAAACAAAAAAAAAAATTATTTACTACTGCGACTACTACTACTAATGATAATAAACAAACAAGGTGGTCCGAAATTTTTGTCACCTACTACGGAAAAACTAATGAGAACAATACATAGCACATGTACTGGATTCAGTTTATTATTCAATTTCATTGACGCTGTCACACATCGACTAGGTCTGTATCAATACCATCATTTTCATGACATAAAAGAACGTGGTGCTTTGTCCTGTGTGATACGAAACTGTGCTTTGTAAATTGCTAGAAAGGCTCTCCAACTGATAGGCATTCTGACTGAATAAATTACAGACATTAAGTCTACTATTGACCACTTATCCCCTAAATATAGCACACCTTAAGACTTTATTTCTTCATATATATATATATATATATATATATATATATATATATATATATATATATATATATATATATTATATATATATATCTGATTGTAAAATTACAGACATTATATCTGCTAATTTTAATAAAATCCGAAGATACTCACGATTAACCTTCCGTGTATTGATGTTTAAATTTCTCTTATTTTCAAGTACTTTCGATCGTCTTCCAATATCATCATCTCTCATCCTTTAACATCAATACACGGAAGGTTATTCGTGAGTATGTACGGATTTATTAAAAAAAAACTAGCAGGCATAATGTCTGTAAATTATTCAACCATACATGCCTAAAACAGAATTTGTTGACTAAACACAAACACACACACACACACACACACACACACACACACACATATATATATATATATATATATATATATATATATATATATATATATATATATATATATATAGTTACTGGTATTAACCTATCTGTGGTTGCCACTGCATTTGTAAAAAAATACTTGTCCTGATGTGTGCCATCCCTAGGTAATGGTCGGATACAAATCAAGTGGGTGTACGTCTGCCTTTAATATTCCATTAAAAGACTCCAACCTTATTAAATCAGATGTTCGTCAATATTTCCTCTTACTTTTTTTTTTTTTTAATTCAAAGCAGAGATGATGGCTCGAGTTATTAGTGATTTCAGCTTTCTTTTAAGAACGTTCCTTTCTAAGCAAAATGATGCAAATAAAAACAGACAGGCCTTTTGCTTCGTGAAACAGCCTGTCGCCTCTAAGTGTTGACTTCAATGTTCTTATATATATATATATATATATATATATATATATATATATATATATATATATATATATATATAATTTCTGTATTTAGGCAGCAAATACTATTTTAGGCATATCTGACTGAATAAATTACAGACATTAAGTCTACTATTTTTTTCACAAAATCCGTTCATACACACGAAGAACTACCCGTGTATTGATGCTAAAAGATAAGGGTAATGTACTATGGCTGTTTAATTTTTTTTATTTCCCAAGTCTAAATATTTCTATAATCACTTGTACGATTGAACAACATAGAGTTTGTACTACTTGCACCCCTGAAGATGATCTTGGAAGAAGATCTAAAGTACTTGGGAAATGAAAATCAATCAATCATTGTGTAGATAAAATAATAATTGATCAATAAAATAGGAAGAAAGAGGGAAAGAAAGAAAAACGGATCGAAGCAAAAGGCCTGTCTGTTGTCATGCGTATAATTTTCCTTAGAGAAGGACACTTGTAAAAGAAATCTGAAATCACTAATATCTCGAGCTAGCACTGTTTGATGTGCGCTCTTTAAAACATTATCAACAAAGAACATGATTGCTATTTCATAGCAAGTTCAAAGGTCACGTGAATGTGAAGACAAAACAGCGTCTGATAAATTACTTATGCTTCAAATATGTCGTCCATTTTATGGCACATCTCGATGAAGAACGATGTATCGTTATCGATTTTTTTATCGAAAAGAAAGACGTCTGTCGTTGTCAAACCGAATAAAAATGAGACTGAATAACAAAAAAAAAAAAAAAAGATAGCGTATGCTCTAGTGAACATTTTGCAAGATACAGACAGAATGAAAGTGAGACAGATAAGCGCTATTAAAAGCAAAAAAAGAAATAAAAAGCATTGGAAAAATGAATACAAAAAAGGAGAGATAACTCACGTCAAGGGAGATAATGTAGTGAAACGACAAGGCTTGACATTAATGAGAATATCACATGGAAAGAAGTGTTTAGTAATGCTGCGAAGAATGAGAAAATAACAGTTTTCTGGCATAGCAATTTTTCAAAATGGGTGTTTGTATATTTTTCAAGTTCCTGACTCCTAGCGTTCTTTTTACGTTTTTCAAAAACAAATAAATTTTTATTTTGTCAAACCTTTCACGTTCTGTATCGGGTCCGTTCATAAGTAGGTGATCATGGCTCTGAACAATTTCCTGTCTTTGTAGCTCTTACTAATTTTTTTGTCTTTTTGCTTTTTCTCCCAAACCCTTTTTCCGTTATTCATTTAGCGAGGAATGAGAAAATAACAGCTTTCTGGCATAGCGATTTATCAAAATGGGTGTCTTTTCGCCCTATTCATTTAGTCAGGTTCCCTAAATATGTTTATTTCTCTGTCTCAATTCCTTTCAGTATGTCCTGTAAGTATTAGATTTTCCAAGCCCTCTTTCCTCGTTATGCGCCCTAGAAATTTCAGCAGTCTCTTCCTGATGTTAGGCATAAGTTTCCTTTTCTTTTCCATTTTTTCTAAAATTTTGCCGGCTTTGCTGAATAGTCTAATTATATTTCTGGCGCCGAATAAGCCACGCCAAATGAACTACGCCGAACCGTACCAAACCCATTTCTTAGCACTATGCTTAGCTTTGCATATGCATCTTTTGCTATCCCAACACAACTACAGATTTCAGTATCGTAATTTCCGTCTTCTGTTAAAATATTTCCCAGGTATTTATTTATTTTTTATTTGTTTGATTTTAGTATCTCCGATTTGCAGTTTGCACTTTCGGCACCTCCATTTTTTAACAACTATGCATTCTGTCTTCTTGCAGTTGACGTCTAATCCTTTCTTGTTGTTTTCCTTTACCTTCTGTATGGAATTTTGTACCTTTGTATCTGTTAACAACACTGTGTCATCTGCATACCTTATGTTTATAAGATTATGGCCACCGATAAGAAATTCTGGTAGCACTTCTAATTCCCTCAGAATCAACTCACTGAATAGGTTGAATAAGTCTGTTGAGAAAATACACCATTTTCTGTTTTTGTATATCTGCGTAAAAAAAATGTTCTTTGCTACCAGTAAAGGTTTTGAATTATTCTAATATCCTTCACAAATTTATCAAGAACATAAGAAGTCCCCCACCAAAAAAAATTGTGGAGTGATTTATAGTACACCTTTGCGTAATCTATAAAACACAAGTACAAGTACTTCTAATTATCAGTTTCTCTTGCATGCATAGATTGCAGTTTTTTCATTTTTTTTTATATACAGGTTGCGATGGTTCAATTGCCTCCATTACTTATTTTCAATTTCGCGCATGCGCGTTGGCTGTTTTTTGACACAGTATAGTCGGTCCAGTTAGGCACTATCTTTGAGTGAGAAAGGTACCATGACGTAATTCACTATGCTAGAACATTTGAAACGGCTTGCTCTATTGCTTGGCATTCGCATCGGAACTCCAATACCAACATTTTAGAATGTTTGGGTGTCGAACTGCGTTCAGTGCAAAGGATTTCGAAAGATTTATAAGTCTAAAGGTGGTTACGAAGGTACGACAGCTTGGAAAACACACTGGTCGTTGTAATATGACAAGAACACCTGATTTTGTTGGCGACGGTCTCAGTTTCAACCTGAAGGCTTACATCATATAATTAGACGAGTTGTGCTGCCCTGGGTAAATTGGGTGTATCTTGGAAGACCCTATGCCAGGCAACAGGATGCTGAAGCATGCCACACAAGCAGAAGAATCCAATCATGGCGGTCAGACAATTTCTACATCCACATCATTTCTTACATCTGGCCACTTAACTCCGTAGTTTGCTATCCACTTATTTATTATATGTGGGGCAGGGTTGAGTCGGGGGGATTTGATTTTGAATTTTCTAAAACAACTCTTATTTCGTAATCAACACCATCACTTGAGAAGACACCAGAAGTGTTGAAACAAAATGGCTATTTTTGTAGTGATATTATAACATATTTGTGGTATAATTTTCGAATAAATGTGAATACTACGATATGAAAATTGTGATGTAGTAGAAACTGGGTGGATATCAAGATTTGGAGGGGGAGCACGTAACCCTGGCACCGGAGTTGGACATGATGTCAATGAACTAAACTTCATTGTTCAACGAAAAAACAAAATCTATTATTCCGATAAATGTCATGAAGATCCCAGCAAAGAAGATCAACTATTACTTCCTGGCATAATTTGAATTTCATTTGGCGGAAGGATTTTTGTATCGTGTTCGCTGTATGAGTGATGGGAAATAACTATAATTAGTCTTTTTTTTTTCTTTATTATTATACAGAGGAACCTCGGTTCTCGAACGTCTCACATGTCGAAAAAATAAGTTTTCGAACAGAAAAATTCGAGATGAAAATGCCTCGGTTAGCGAACAAAATTTCGGTTCTCGAACAATATAGCCTAATCTAGTTAACACGAACGGAAACATTTCTGAGTCAACCACCGTGTTGTATACATTCGTGTGTTGTGCCATGCTTTTATTTTCCAATTTTATTGTACTGTGACTTTTTTCACTACATTGATTCTTATTGGAAACTAGCAGCATGACCCGGCGTTGCCCGTGCTTCATTCAAAAATCGTACGACTCATACAGCAATCGCTATCACTCGAATAAAATATTTTTGCCCTACCTTGCCTTAAAGGAGTGCCTTTTGCTGTGTTGATGTTGCTACATGCCTTACTTCTTGCCTATCTCACACGGCGGATTTTTTCTAAGCTCTATACTAAACATTAAATCTGTTACGAAAAAAGAACTAAACAAAATGAACGCAAAACGATCAGCTTTAAAAAAGGACTCGTAACTGGAAAAACCGAATGAAAAGAGAATGTTAACAACAAATACTTTTTTTACACACAACCCAGTTCTGCGGGATCAGAATCAACCTTGAGTTTAAGCAAGAGAATGAGCAAATTGGAGTAAAGTGCCATGCAGATTTAAATTTTTCCCACTTGTGACGAATGCAAGTATGATTTTATTTTTTTGCATGTTACCATGCTAGTTAACATTCGTGTCAGTCAGCTGTTGGCTCTCACTCTGGCCAATGATTCTATTCCTGCCTATT